ATATATATAAATAATATATATTTATTTATATATATATATAGCTCTATTTACAGGTGTACATACAAATCGATAGATATGTGTTTACGTGCGCAAGTATACTGCGCAAGCTTGCGCACACAATCAAGCATACGTATATTTGTATCGGATAATTTGAATAAAACCCAGTTAAGCAAATGTGGCTTCAAACCTCATCGGTTCTCAAGAAGCCTGTTTTCTAGAACCAGTGGAATACTTGTGCGAGTGAGGTACCAGATCTAATTACAGTCACAGATGCGCTATGAGTTGCATGTGATGGCATGCCTGTACTATTATATTCTAGCTTTACTTGTCATAGTAGCTGTCCAAACTTATCAGTATACGACAAGTCCTATATTTCTGTCACTCACCAATTCATCTCATTGTATGCTACATGGCTTCGCGACTCGCTAACAATACCATGTTCATATAAACAGGCACTACACTAGTTTACACCTTGCCGCTGCTGTTGGATCGTACGAGTGCTGTGTGCTGCTGTTGCGTGCGGGGGACATACCTAGTAGGCAGCCGAATGATGTACATACGGACCATACATGGTATGCAGCAACACCTGACAATGCGGATATGGCCACGAATACTGTGCGGGACAGGTCAACCGGTCCTAAAAATACACCGACAGGTGCATGTGACAGGCAAGTACGTGTACGTGGTGACAGCGGAATAGCGGATGAAGCAGCTGGTATCCGCACACATGACTCGGGGGCAATTGACTCTGTTGCGCGAGAGACGCCTTTAGAGACCGCCATGCGACTGCAGAGAAGAAGTGTGGTTGCGTTGATGTTGAGGTACATGGCGGCACTAGAGTTCCAGCGCTTCGAGCGGCGAATGCTGACCCAAGCCCAGCAGATGAAAGACCCCCAGCAGGGCAAAGAAGGAACAGCCACAACCGCAGCAACCAGCAAGGCAAATTCCCCTATAAAGGGCAAGAGAAGGCGCAGCTTTATTCTGGGCCACTTGCACGGTGCCGGTAATGGGGCGGTACAGTCGTCCACTGCGAGTGTCTCAAGCGAAGTGGTGGCACCGCTGACAACGCCAACCATTGCCGAGGGACATCCCGTGGACAGCCAGTCACGCGGTGAGCAGGGGGAGGTTGATAATAGTACCGAACAGCGCAAGGACGACGGCTTAGGGACTGCAGTAGGTGGTGTAGGTGTCAGGGAAACGGGGGCAAGCGACAAGGAAAACAGGGCAAAAGCCAAGGGAGAGGACAAAATAGTACAAATTAGGAACCAGGACAAGGACACCAGGAAGACAGTCTCTAAGTTCCCGACAATGAACGAACAGGGCACAACGGCAGACACGGACCACAGCACGCGGTGTGAGTCATGCGGACAGACCATACCACCAGAGCATGTCACACCACCCCAAGAACACCCCCAACACGACAAGCAAACACCGCACTATGCTCGTAGCACAAGTGTCGGAGTGGACTACAAAGGGACCAACCCTCTGCGCAGTAGTAAATGTAGAAGCCTCGGAGTGGCCTTGCACGAAGTGCTGCAGAGCGAAGCCCAGGGGCCACCAGCGAGCAGTCCCAATGGCGACACAGCCGGTGACGAAGTACCGAACTGTGCCCTCACTAGCACAGTTGTGAAGCCACAGGCACAGGCACAGACAGCGCTGACAGAAGACGAGCCCAAAAAGCGGGGCATCAGAGAACGCATGGGATCATTTCTGGAGTTCACAGACAGTTTCAAACGCAACACCCGACCGTTGTCCTTCCAGGGTGTGTTGTATTCTATTGATGTGTGGGTGCATTTTGTGTGTCTGCATACGGACGCAAGACTAATAAATCGCATTCAGAAGGAAGTAGACAGCACGGCCACATCCATACCTGCATTAAGTGACCCGGTCAAGAAACTGTTTACATCAGAAGTGGCTTGTTCTCGATTTATACATATATACGTTTATATATATACGTTTATATATATATATATATATATATATATATATATATATATATATATATATATATATATATATATATATATATATATATATATATATATATATATATATATATATATATATATATATATATATATATATATATATATATATATATATATATACTACTACTACTACTACTACTAC